AGCAGCAGGGCAGGAATTGAACCGATCAGCGCGGTTGGACGTCAATGCCACAGCGCATCAAAACAACACGAACACTCCAGTGGAGCGGATCGCGACAGAAGTCGCACGTGGGGCAGAAACGATCATCAAACGCCACTTCCATCGACCCCGCGCGTCCCGTAAGAAACAAGAACCACTGACGTCACAACAGCAGCACGGTGGCCACGTGACGCGCAAGGCGCGTGGTTGGCGCCGTGCCCTTCCTGCTGCGAGCGAGCAGCAGCCGCTCGTCCCGTGCGGCATAAGGGGAATAGGAATAACCACGTGCCAAGTGAGGTTTATAGATGAACCTATCAATCACATTTTGCAGGACAGACAACTTCATACCGGGTTTAGGCGTGTCTGGATTCATCAGCCAGTACGGCATAGCCATCATTGCCCTATCTCAATATTCATGAAGTACATATGAAGGCAGTAACACCTCCCTCCAATCAATGTCATGTCACTCCACGTAATAAACAACGCTTTCATATTTTACGCGCAGGGACAGACATTGGAAGGACGCCTGCTCATTTACTCTGTGACGTAAAGTGAGTGGTCGAGTGGGTGCGAGGTGGCCAGGCTATCAGACACGTGTATCGCACGAGCCGTGACGATGCTCCTCCAGGTAAGGGTAGCAATCTCCAAATCTAGCGTCCATCCTCACGGGCTGCATGAACAAACCACAAGAGGAAATCACAAATCACAGGAGCAGTCGGGCAGGGAGACACCCTCTCACTGAGCCTATTCGGAGGGATTTCGGAAGACGAAATTAAATAACCAGCTCAGATGTACCGATGACATCGTCGTTTTAACGGACAATGGGACTGGACTGCGACACGTCATTGAATCGTTTACCAAAGGAGGCGGCCAAGTTTGGCTCAAGACAAAGACGAGCAAAACGATGGCCACGTGCTGAGAATTCTTAACCGAAGCTCTATGGGTGGTGTCACGTACAACGAAGACATTTAGTCCGTGGGGCTGTGCAAAATTCGGTACCACCGAAGGTAGCAAAGCTTTAGCAGCACCGATTTAATTCGGTGGCCAAGACGAGTTAGTTACTCGATAACCCCCCACTCATTTCAAACGCCGATCGCGTCAGTCCCTGTTGTTGGCCACAAGAAGAGACCTAAATACACAATGGGTGCCACCTCAGGTGGGGCCGACAAGTGAGATATCAGCTCTGGGCTCGTGCAAGAGTTCTTGCAGAGACGCAACTGGAAAACACATCAGAGTATCTGTACCGAACATTGCATTACATTTATAAACATAGAACAGACAAAGATCCCCCGTGTAACCTGAACGGACTTTTGGGGCAAACGTTTGTTGAGGAACCAACGGGCTGGGTAGCCAGCACCACGCCCGGCTGCCTTTGCCTTCCTAGTGGCGATATTTACACAGCACTCCAGGTACTCGTTTGAGACCGAGGTGACCCAGAGGAAGCCCAAGACCGGTTGAGAAATTATAATCTGATGTTGGCCGCTGAGCGGGAATCGAACCCGGGTCGTCGGGGCTTTTTGTTTGTTTATACCGAAGGTTCATTCGCATGGACCATCTTAATCTACGAGTATGGGGCGGTGGGATGGACACAGCCAACGCAGAACCGCTTTCCATCTCGGTTGGAGCGCGTGAACCAAACCTTGGGAGACCGCTCACCGCACGCGCGCCCCTCACTGTCGCTGGCGACGTCAGCGCGAGGGATGGGTGCGTTGGGGGGCCCGGGGGGGGGGGGCGATCGCTCCCTGGGCGGTCGAGGGGACGTGACCCCTGGACCCCGCTCGCTCCCTCCGGCTGTTGACGAAGGGGCGACGTGCGCTGGGCACCCCGCGCAGCCGGTTTCCCTTTGCCGCCCGCCCTCCTCATCGCTCACAGCAGATTGACGCCCGTCAGTGATGATGGATGGCGGTGCCTCTCTCCTGCCCTCCCTCTTCTCTTACCCTCTCCCCTGTCTCTATACTCTCTCTCTCTCAAGTGCAATAAATGCAGTAATAACAGAGGTACGCAAATAACCATGAAGTTCATAAACAAATGAAGTGCACAAGCGGTGCATCTACACCAGGGGCCGTGTGGAAGCGTGGCTGGCAACGAAGATGCACCCGAGTTGTACGACACTTCATAAGTCCCCTTGGCTACTGCACAGGTACCCCCTTGGCTACTGCACAGGTACCCCCTTGACTACTGCACAGGTACCCCCTTGGCCACTGCACAGGTACCCCCTTGACTACTGCACAGGTACCCCCTTGGCCACTGCACAGGTACCCCCTTGACTATTGCACAGGTACCCCCTTGGCTACTGCACAAGTACCCCCTTGACTACTGCACAGGTACCCCCTTGACTACTGCACAGGTACCCCTTTGGCCACTGCACAGGTACCCCCTTGACTATTGCACAGGTACCCCCTTGGCTACTGCACAAGTACCCCCTTGACTACTGCACAGGTACCCCCTTGACTACTGCACAGGTACCCCCTTGGCTATTGCACAGGTACCCCCTTGGCTACTGCACAGGTACCCCCTTGGCTACTGCACAGGTACCCCCTTGGCCACTGCACAGGTACCCCCTTGACTACTGCACAGGTACCCCCTTGGCTACTGCACAGGTACCCCCTTGACTACTGCACAGGTACCCCCTTGGCTACTGCACAGGTACCCCCTTGGCTACTGCACAGGTACCCCCTTGGCTACTGCACAGGTACCCCCTTGGCTACTCCACGTACGTCCCCTTGGCTCCTTAGCCCCCAATTTAAACATCGTCCCCACGAACTCGAACTGGGGGGGGAGGGTGGGGTGTCTAAGCTGCTCGGCGAGATCTCACGCTGCCGGCAACAGGTGCTAGAGGCTTCTGCCGGGCTGCGTGGTGGGTAGCAGAAGGCAGCGCAGCCAAATCCACTGTTAGACTGCACTGCTATGCTCCAGAGTATCCCGGTGCACTGGCCCGGTTTGCGAACCAGGCTGGCCGGGCTGCTCGTGGTCATGAGGACGCGGCATCGTCAGAGTGCCTGGGGAGCGGTTCCTTTCGAGGCTTCAATTAGCCACATGCCACGAATTAATGAACCACAATTCAGAGCTTAGCAAAGCGTTAATTGCTCCTTGCAGTCGCGAGGGTGGCGGAGGAGCTTCGTTTCTGTAGCCACCCAGTAAACCAAATTGCCAAGGGGAAATACGCGGCACTTTGAACAATTTCGTGTACAGCTGTGGACTATTTTGTGTAACAAGAAATTTACGTTGGGCAACGCCCATATGTCTCTCCCAAGAGGGCTGTGAGTGTGTATAGGTGCGTGTGTATAATGCGTGTATCGGTGTGTGTAGGGGTGTGTGTATAGGTGCGTGTGTATAATGCGTGTATAGGTGTGTGTAGGTGTGTGTGTATAGGTGCGTGTGTATAATGCGTGTATAGGTGTTTGTGTAGGTGTGTGTGTATAGGTGCGTGTGTATAATGCATGTATAGGTGTGTGTGTATAGGTGCGTGTGTATAATGCGTGTATAGGTGTGTGTGTGTAGGTGTGTGTGTATAGGTGCGTGTGTATAATGCGTGTATAGGTGTGTGTGTGTAGGTGTGTGTGTATAGGTGCGTGTCTATAATGCGTGTATAGGTGTGTGTGTGTAGGTGTGTGTGTATAGGTGCGTGTGTATAATGCGTGTATAGGTGTGTGTGTGTGTGTGTATAATGTGTGTATGGGGAGCGGTAGTGTAGCAGTTAGGGCGCTGCGCTACGAACCTGGCGACCCGAGTTCGATTCCCGCCCACGGCAAACACCGGTGACGATTACTGTATTTGAACCGGTCCTGGGCCTCCCCTAGTTCGACTTAGCCTCAAATGAGTGCCTGGTGCGGTGTATAAACATCGACACTGGGGAGATAAAGGCGGCCGGGCGTGGTGTTGGCCACCCACCCCCTCGCTAACAGCAGTTGCCCCTACAGTTTGTTAAGGCTATTTGGGGGATCTTTGTCTGGAGCTGCACTAGGAACCCGGTGACCTGAGTTCGATTCCCGCTCACGGCCAACGCGAGTGACAAATATCTGAATCGGTCCTGGGCCTCCACTCGATCGACTCAGCCTCAAATAAGTACCTGGTGCGATGTGTGAATATACTGTATATGATGTATGTTGAGTTTTTTTCGCACCGTACGTAACCAATCGTGATAATCGGAGGGAGAGGCAACTAACTAAACACAACAATCAGTTCCAAATAAACGAGTTTTTTAATCGAGATTTAAACATTCGTAGCTCCCAGTGGCTTCTTAATATTGTAAGGAAGAGCCATTTGGAGAGACAAAGGCGTCCAGGCGAGTTGCTGGCCACCCACCCTTTCGTGTGCCGTCCCAGCATTCAGAGGTGCTCGCTACCAGCACGGTCAGTTGCAGGATATTCGTGTTGGCACAGCGTCGGGCACAGGATGGTGCATCTGTCAGTCACTTCAGTCAGCACTCCTGTGCTATGTGCACACCTGTCACGTGAGCTGCCAGCAACGAGCCTTCTACAATTCACGTGGCCTCAAGGTGCACCTAGCCTGGCGCAAGCGTAGTGGTGTGTCACAGCCACTTAGTGGCAAATGGCGGTGGTTGTTGAACGTGTGTGAGTGGTGGTGGTGTCGTGGATTGCCCACTGCTCTCCGAATATCTGAACCGGTCCGGTGCCCTCGGTCGATTCGGTGTGCTAACGTGGTGTCCGCCCCATATCCCGTTGTGCACCATGCCTTCGTACGCGTATATAACACGTGCGGGCCTTCATAAAGGCTCGCGGTGGTGCGTACGTGTGAACGCGTACATGCGTCTCGACCCACGACCGCCGTTGTGCACACCCGTGCACACTCGTGCTAACTTTGTGCACACCCGTGCCAACTTTGTGCACACCCGTGCTAACTTTGTGCACACCCGTGCTAACTTTGTGCACACCCGTGCTAACTTTGTGCACACCCGTGCACACCCGTGCTAACTCTGTGTACACACGTGCTAACTTTGTGTACACACGTGATCAACTCACCTGTGCGTCGAGTCCCTGTGGCTAAGGGAGCTGCTCTCGCCGTCGTTCTTGCGCCTGTAGGCCATGAGAACGATGCCCTGCTGCTTCTGCTTCCTGCGATATTCCATGCTGCTTGCGGGCGGCGGAGTCCACAGGTGAGTCCACAGGTGAGTCCACAGGTGAGTCCACAGGTGAGTCCACAGGTGAGTCCACAGGTGAGTCCACAGGTGAGTCCACAGGTGAGTCCACAGGTGAGTCCACAGGTGAGTCCACAGGTGAGTCCACAGGTGAGTCCACAGGTGAGTCTCCTGCAGGAGCAGGTGAGCGCAGACCGGCGCCGACTCGCATGTATGAGTGCTTCACCACACCCCGAGACCGCCGAGGTAGACTCCTGAGCGTCTCTCGGTCCTCGAGTCGTCTTTGAGGGATGAGCTCCGTCAGATTTATCCACTCGACTCCATCACAGCAGCTACGGCCTAGAACAAAGACAAATACCCCCGTATAGGCTTTAATATACTGTAGGGGCAAGTGCGGTTCGCGAACACCTATGAAGGTCGGAACAGCTCAGGAGGTGGTGGGTGGCTAACACCATGCCCGACCGCCTTTGTTTTCCCAATGCTGATGTTTACACAACGAACCAGGTACCCATTTGAAGCTGAATCCACCTAGGATCGGTTTAGCTGTGCCTCACAGATGTTAGCCGTGAGCAGGAATCGAACTCGGGATGCTGGGTTCGTAGCGCAGTGTGCTAACCATTGTGCCACTGCTCCCCACAAACATGTTAGAGAACACACATACACCCCAACAACACACACACCTACAACACACACACACCTACAACACACACACCTACACACACATCCCTACAACACACACACCTACACACACAAAGACACACTCCCATCCCTACAACACACTCTCACACCCCTACAACACACACACCTACACACACAAAGACACACACTCCCATCCCTACAACACACTCTCACACCCCTACAAGACACACACCTACAACACACGCACACATCGTGCAACACACATATACCACGGCCTATACCCCAAGTATGTGTTGTGTTTGTGTTGTACGGTTGTGTGTGTGTGTTGTTGGAGTGTGTTGTGGAAGTGTATTGTCGGAGTATGTGTGTAGTAGGTGTGTGTGTGTGTGAGCGTGTTGAGGGGGTGTGAAGGTGTTCTAAGTGTGTTGTACGGTTGTGTGTTGTGAGTGTTTAGAGTGCGAGTGTTGTAGGGGAGTTTGTGCGCTGATGGGGTTTATGGGTGTGTATTGTAGGGGTGTGAGTGTGTGTTGTAGGGGTGTGAGTGTGTTGTAGGGGTGTGAGTGTGTGTTGTAGGGGTGTGTGTGTTGTAGGGGTGTGTGAGTGTGTGTTGTAGGGGTGTGAGTGTGTGTTGTAGGGTTGTGTGTGTGTGTGGTAGGGGTGTGTGAGTGTGTGTTGTAGGGGTGTGTGTGTGTGTGGTAGGGGTGTGTGAGTGTGTGTTGTAGGGGTGTGAGTGTGTGTTGTAGGGTTGTGTGTGTGTGTCTGTTGTAGGGGTGTGTAAGTGTGTGCTGTAGGGGTGTGAGTGTGTGTTGTAGGGGTGTGTGTGTGTGTAGGTGTGGTAGGGGTGTGTGTGTTGTAGGGGTGTGAGTGTGTGTTGTAGGGGTGTGTGTGTGTGTGTGGTAGGGGTGTGTGTGTTGTAGGGGTGTGAGTGTGTGTTGTAGGGGTGTGTGAGTGTGTGTTGTAGGGGTGTGAGTGTGTGTTGTAGGGGTGTGTGTGTGTTGTAGGGGTGTGTGTGTGTGGTAGGGGTGTGTGTGTTGTAGGGGTGTGAGTGTGTGTTGTAGGGGTGCGTGTGTGTGGTAGGGGTGTGTGTGTTGTAGGGGTGTGAGTGTGTGTTGTAGGGGTGTGTGTGTTGTAGGGTTGTGTGTGTGTTGTAGGGGTGTGAGTGTGTGTTGTAGGGTTGTGTGTGTGTGTTGTAGGTGTGTGTCAGAGTGTGTTGTAGGGGTGTGTGTGTGTGTTGTAGGGTTGTGTGTGTGTTGTAGGGTTGTGTGTGTGTTGTAGGTGTGTGTCAGAGTGTGTTGTAGGGGTGTGTGTGTGTGTTGTAGGGTTGTGTGTGTGTTGTAGGTGTGTGTCAGAGTGTGTTGTAGGGGTGTGAGTGTGGTTCGTGGCCGAAGCCGCAGTGCCTGCTACCTGCACTCTGCCTTCACGTCCCAGGTGTCGCGTCCCGGTCTTCGGCACTTCGCTTCACTCGCTCATCTGAGCTAACATGTGCGCGACCACCGCTCTACTTTGCCAGCAATAATCGCTATACTGCTGCTACTGTTGCTGAACTGAGCGACCCTCGGCTGATAACGCGTTATCAGTGTCCGTCTGAGCGGATCTAGAAGCGGGACAGAGCTCGCCAGCCACTGTTCATAGCCCGTCAGATCAAACTGACGGGGGAACGAGGTGGGAGGAGGAGCTGATGGAGGTAGCGGAGGAGGCGGGACGAGGCGTGGGCTCAGTAGCGAGCGTCGAGGAGCGAGTGAGTGAGGAGTGAGAGAGGGAGTGAGTGAGGGAGCGAGTGAGTGAGTGAGGGAGCGAGTGAGTGAGTGAGGAGTGAGAGAGGGAGTGAGTGAGTGAGGGAGTGAGGGAGGGAGGGAGTGAGTGAGTGAGTGAGGGAGTGAGTGAGTGAGTGAGGGAGTGAGTGAGTGAGTGAGTGAGTGAGTGAGTGAGTGAGTGAGTGAGGGAGTGAGTGAGTGAGTGAGGGAGTGAGTGAGTGAGTGAGGGAGTGAGTGAGTGAGGGAGTGAGTGAGAGAGGGAGTGAGTGAGGAGTGAGTGAGGGAGTGAGTGAGTGAGTGAGGAGTGAGTGAGTGAGTGAGGGAGTGAGTGAGAGAGGGAGTGAGTGAGGAGTGAGTGAGTGAGTGAGAGAGTGAGTGAGTGAGGGAGTGAGTGAGTGAGTGAGGGAGTGAGGGAGTGAGTGAGAGAGGGATTGAGAGAGGGAGTGAGTGAGTGAGTCGGTGAGTGAGTGAGTGAGAGAGGGAGTGAGTGAGGGAGTGAGAGAGGGAGTGAGTGAGGGAGGGAGGGAGTGAGAGAGGGAGTGAGTGAGTGAGTGGGTGAGTGAGTGAGAGAGGAAGTGAGTGAGTGAGTGAGGGAGTGAGTGAGTGAGGGAGTGAGTGAGGGAGTGACGGAGTGAGTGAGTGAGGGAGTGAGTGAGCGAGTGAGGGAGTGAGTGAGAGGGGGAGTGAATGAGGAGTGAGTGAGGGAGTGAGTGAGTGAGAGAGTGAGTGGGTTTTGGGAGGGAGGGAGTGAGGGAGGGAGTGAGGGAGTCAGTGAGTGAGAGAGCGAGTGAGAGAGGGAGTGAGTGAGTGAGGGAGTGAGAGAGCGAGTGAGTGAGAGAGGGAGGGAGTGAGTGAGTGAGGGAGTGAGTGAGTGAGGGAGTGAGTGAGGGAGGGAGTGAGTGAGAGAGGAAGTGAGTGAGGGAGTGAGTGAGGGAGTGAGTGAGTGAGGGAGTGAGTGAGTGAGTGAGGGAGTGGGTGAGAGAGTGACAGAGGTAGTGAGTGAGGGAGTGAGTGAGTGAGTGAGGGAGTGAGTGAGTGAGGGAGTGAGTGAGTGAGTGAGGGAGTGAGTGAGTCAGTGAGAGAGGGAGTGAGTGAGTGAGTGAGGGAGTGAGTGAGTGAGTGAAGGAGGGAGTGAGTGAGAGAAGGAGTGAGTGAGGGAGTGAGTGAGGGAGTGAGTGAGTGAGGGAGTGAGTGAGTGAGTGAGGGAGTGAGTGAGGGAGGGAGTGAGTGAGTGAGAGAGGGAGTGAGGGAGTGAGTGAGTGAATGAGTGAGTGAGGGAGTGAGTGAGTGAGGGAGTGGGTGAGAGAGTGAGAGAGAGAGTGAGTGAGGGAGTGAGTGAGTGAGTGAGGAAGAGAGTGAGTGAGTGAGGGAGTGAGGGAGTGAGTGAGTGAGTGAGAGAGGGCGTGAGTGAGTGAGTGAGGGAGTGAGTGAGGGAGTGAGGGAGTGAGAGAGGGAGTGAGTGGGTGAGGGAGTGAGGAGGGAGGGAGGGAGAGAGCGAGTGAGTGAGTGAGAGAGGGAGTGAGTGAGTGAGTGAGAGGGGGAGTGAGTGAGGGAGGGAGTGAGTGAGGGAGGGAGTGAGTGAGAGAGTGAGGGAGTGAGTGAGTGAGGGAGTGAGTGAGTGAGGGAGTGGGTGAGGGAGTGAGTCAGGGAGTGAGGGAGTGAGTGAGTGAGAGAGGGAGTGAGAGAGGGAGTGAGAGAGGGAGTGAGTGAGGGAGTGAGAGAGGGAGTGAGTGATGGAGTGAGTGAGTGAGAGAGTGAGGGAGTGAGTGAGAGAGTGAGGGAGTGAGTGAGTGAGAGAGAGAGGGAGTGAGCGAGGGAGTGAGAGAGGGAGTGAGTGAGGGAGTGAGTGAGTGAGAGAGTGAGAGAGTGAGTGAGGGAGGGAGTGAGGGAGTGAGTGAGTGAGTGAGGGAGTGAGTGAGTGAGAGAGGGTGTGAGTGAGTGAGGGAGTGAGTGAGGGAGTGAGTGAGTGAGTGAGAGAGTGAGAGAGTGAGTGAGAGAGTGAGTGAGGGAGGGAGTGAGGGAGTGTGTGAGTGAGGGATTGAGGGAGTGAGTGAGTGAGTGAGGGTGTGAGTGAGTGAGTGAGAGAGGGAGTGAGTGAGTGAGGGAGTGAGTGAGGGAGTGAGCGAGAGAGAGCGAGAGCGACATGGAGAAGGAAGAGAGGGGGGTAGAGAGAGGGGGGGGCAGAGAGGGAGGTAGAGAGAGAGGGAAGGGGTAAGGAGAGCAGTGCGAGAAATATTTTGTTAAATCTTTCATTTAAAAAGCGGGGGGGGGAGGGTTTACATAAAGCAAAGCATTAAAAGAAACGAAATGATGAACGAAGCAAAGTGCCGACTACACCGAGCATCTTCTTGTTTACTCTGATGGTTAAAAAGAGAGAGAGCTGTGCTTGTAGCCCGGCCAGGTATCCAACCCACGCGGCAGGGTGAGCGGCCTGCACCTCTCCACCGAGACGCAGGGCGAGCGAGGCAATGGTGTCAATGCTCGCGAGCCCTCCGATTATTGTGGGATTGCAATTATAGACTCGATCAAAGCGAATATGCAATTGTTTCGGTGACGATGGCACTTTCCGCAGATTTCTACCCCAAGTCTTCACCTCCCTGTGGCTGGGCCGTGCTGTGGGGGGTGCGGCGAGGTGGCAATGGGGGGAGGGGGCTCGTGCTGGTTGCTTTTAATAGCCGTGAAGAAACTCGCCTGCTTGAAATTCCTCTGTACGCGCGTCACGGCGCTGGGGGGGGGGGGTGAGGGCACGGTGGGGGAGGGGTGGATGGGGCAGGTGGACTGTGGCCTCAGGTGCGTTCGGATTCTCAGGGTTCAACAGCGATTGCGCCTGCAACTCGCGGAGCCAAAACGAGGCAGCAGAGTGACGCGAGCGGCGCCGAGAAGTCACTCGCACAGGTAAAGGTGCGGCCCTGAAAGTGCCTCGCCCATGCCACCCCCACCGCTAGCGGAAGAGCCCATTGATAATAATATGATGAGGTGGTTCGTTGCGGTTGATGACAACACGCCGGTCGATGGTACATTGGTATTCACTCGTAAACTATTCACGGTATGCAGTACTTAATCATCATAATACGTTGGTGAAAGATAGATATTGAGTTACGTTTTAGTAATTCATTCATCTTTAAATTGTTGGTAAATAGTGGTGGATGTCCCGCTGTTGTTGGTGAATTGTAGATGAAGTCATCAACAACCATGTCAGTGGCACGTTTACGATGATGACATCGCCGATGCTGTATGGTTGTTTGTTGACTGGTGATCGTTTAGCAACTTCACGAGCCTCGATGACCTCTCTCAAACCCCTCTCGGACCCCTCGGCTTGCCCCTGGGCCTCGTGCCCACCAGAACCAGGCGAGGTGCGTGCGTCGCCCGTTGCAGAAAGGCGCACGTGGCACAGGCTCCAGTGGGTGAGTGGTGTGGTCACAGGTGGTAATGGGTGCGTGGTGGTGGCACAGGTGGCAGTGGGTGCGTGGTGTGGGCACAGGTGGTAATGGGTGCGTGGTGTGGGCACAGGTGGTAATGGGTGCGTGGTGGTGTGGTCACAGGTGGCAGTGGGTGCGTGGTGTGGTCACAGGCGGCACTGGGTGCGTGGTGTGGGCAAGATTTGACAGTACAGCAAGTGGGTTCCTAACCGGTATGTGCTGATTTTTTAGTTTTGTTTACCGCTCATACGTGGCGGGGTTTCTTCAGTCACTCTGCCCAACACAGATTTAGCAGATTAGTTCAGACATCGAGGGGGGGTTTTTGTAGATTTTTTTTTATCACAGTTGCTGAGCACATGCCCGAAGAGACAAACACGACAGGCGGACACCAACAATCAGCACTATCAACGTTGTAACAGAGAAGAGTAAACACGTTACCTTCGACTTGAGTATGTTGTTATAATGTGTAGTGTGGTGAGTGAGTGGGTGAGTCGGTGAGTGTGTTGTAATGTGTAGTGTGGTGAGTGAGTTGGTGAGTGTTGTTGTAATGTGAAGTGTGGTGAGTGGGTGAGCGTGTTATTGTAATCTGTAGTGTGGTGAGTGGGTGGGTGAGTGGGTGAGTGGGTGAATGTGTCATTGTAATCTGTAGTCTGGTGAGTGGGTAGGTGAGTGGGTGAGTGTGTTGTTGTAATCTATAGTGTGGTGAGTTGGTGAGTGTTGTTGTAATGTGAAGTGTGGTGAGTGGGTAGGTGAGTGGGTGAGTGTGTTATTGTAATCTGTAGTGTGGTGAGTGGGTGGGTGAGTGGGTGAATGTGTCATGGTAATCTGTAGTGTGGTGAGTGGGTAGGTGAGTGGGTGAGTTTGTTGTTGTAATCTGTAGTGTGGTGAGTGGGTAGGTGAGTGTGTTATTGTAATCTGTAGTGTGGTGAGTGGGTAGGTGAGTGTGTTATTGTAATCTGTAGTGTGGTGAGTGGGGAGGTGAGTGGGTGAGTGTGTTATTGTAATCTGTAGTGTGGTGAGTGGGTAGGTGAGTGGGTGAGTGGGTGAGTGGGTGAGTGTGGTATTGTAATCTGTAGTGTGGTGAGTGGGTGGGTGAGTAGGTGAGTGTGTTGTTGTAATCTGTAGTGTGGTGAGTGGGTAGGTGAGTGGGTGAGTGGGTGAGTGTGTTGTTGTAATCTGTAGTGTGGTGAGTGGGTAGGTGAGTGGGTGAGTGGGTGAGTGGGTGAATGTGTCATTGTAATCTGTAGTGTGGTGAGTGGGTAGGTGAGTGGGTGAGTGTGTTATTGTAATCTGTAGTGTGGTGAGTGGGTGGGTGAGTGGGTGAGTGTGTTGTTGTAATCTGTAGTGTGGTGAGTGGGTAGGTGAGTGGGTGAGTGTTATTGTAATCTGTAGTGTGGTGAGTGGGTAGGTGAGTGGGACAATGTGTTATTGTAATCTGTAGTGTGGTGAGTGGGTGAGTGTGTTATTATCATCTGTAGTGTGGTGAGTGGGTGGGTGAGTGTATTGTTGTAATCTGTAGTGTGGTGAGTGGGTAGGTGAGTGGGTGAGTGGGTGAGTGGGTTGTTGTAATCTGTAGTGTGGTGAGTGGGTAGGTGAGTGGGTGAGTGGGTGAGTGGGTGAATGTGTCATTGTAATCTGTAGTGTGGTGAGTGGGTGTGTTATTGTAATCTGTAGTGTGGTGAGTGGGTGGGTGAGTGGGTGAGTGTGTTGTTGTAATCTGTAGTGTGGTGAGTGGGTAGGTGAGTGGGTGAGTGGGTGAGTGTGGTATTGTAATCTGTAGTGTGGTGAGTGGGTGGGTGAGTAGGTGAGTGTGTTGTTGTAATCTGTAGTGTGGTGAGTGGGTAGGTGAGTGGGTGAGTGGGTGAGTGGGTGAGTGTGTTGTTGTAATCTGTAGTGTGGTGAGTGGGTAGGTGAGTGGGTGAGTGGGTGAATGTGTCATTGTAATCTGTAGTGTAGTGAGTGGGTAGGTGAGTGGGTGAGTGTGTTGTTGTAATCTGTAGTGTGGTGAGTGGGTAGGTGAGTGGGTGAGTGTTATTGTAATCTGTAGTGTGGTGAGTGGGTAGGTGAGTGGGACAATGTGTTATTGTAATCTGTAGTGTGGTGAGTGGGTGAGTGTGTTATTATCATCTGTAGTGTGGTGAGTGGGTGGGTGAGTGTATTGTTGTAATCTGTAGTGTGGTGAGTGGGTAGGTGAGTGGGTGAGTGGGTGAGTGTGTTGTTGTAATCTGTAGTGTGGTGAGTGGGTAGGTGAGTGGGTGAGTGGGTGAATGTGTCATTGTAATCTGTAGTGTGGTGAGTGGGTAGGTGAGTGGGTGTGTTATTGTAATCTGTAGTGTGGTGAGTGGGTGGGTGAGTGGGTGAGTGTGTTATTGTAATCTGTAGTGTGGTGAGTGGGTAGGTGAGTGGGACAGTGTGTTATTGTAATCTGTAGTGTGGTGAGTGGGTGAGTGTGTTATTGTAATCTGTCGTTCGGTGAGTGGGTGAGTGTTGTTATAATCTGTAGTGTGTTGAGTGGGTGGGTGAGTGGGTAAGTGGGTAGGTGAGTGGGTGAGTGTGTTGTTGTAATCTGTAGTGTGGTGAGTGGGTGGGTGAGTGGGTAAGTGGGTAGGTGAGTGGGTGAGTGTGTTGTTGTAATCTGTAGTGTGGTGAGTGGGTGGGTGAGTGGGTAAGTGGGTAGGTGAGTGGGTGAGTGTGTTGTTGTAATCTGTCGTGTGGTGAGTGGGTGGGTGAGTGGGTGTGTTGTTGTAATTTGCCGTGTGGTGAGTGGGTGACTGTGTTATTGTAATCTGCAGTGTGGTGAGTGGGTGGGTGAGCGCGTCGTTACCTGCAATGTGGTGGCTGGACAGTGTGGATGAGACTAAACAATCAGTCTGAGCGTGGTATATACGTATGTACAGTGAGGGAAAAAAGTATTTGATCCCCTGCTGATTTTGTACGTTTGCCCACTGACAAAGAAATTATCAGTCTATAATTTTAATGGTAGGTTTATTTGAACAGTAAGAGACAGAAGAGTAACAAAAAAATTCCAGAAAACGCATGTCGAAAATGTTATAAATTGATTTGCATTTTAATGAGGGAAATAAGTATTTGAGCCCCTCTCAATCAGAAAGATTTCTGGCTCCCAGGTGTATTTTATACAGGTAACAAGCTGAGATTACGAGCACACTCTTAAAGGGAGGGCTCCTAATCTCAGCTTGTTACCTGTATAAAAGACACCTGTCCACAGAAGCAATCAATCAATCAGATTCAAAACTCTTCACCATGGCCAAGACCAAAGAGCTCTCCAAGGATGTCAGGGACAAGATTGTAGACCTACACAAGGCTGGAATGGGCTACAAGACCATTGCCAAGCAGCTTGGTGAGAAGGTGACAACAGTTGGTGCGATTATTCGCAAATAGAAGAAACACAAAAGAACTGTCAATCTCCCTCGGCCTGGGGCTCCATGCAAGATTTCACCTCGTGGAGTTGCAATGATGAGAACGGTGAGGAATCATCCCAGAACTACACGGGAGGATCTTGTCAATGATCTCAGGGCAGCTGGGACCATAGTCACCAAGAAAACAATTGGTAACACACTACGCCGTGAAGGACTGAAATCCTGCAGAGCCCGCAAGGTCCCCCTGCTCAAGAAAGCACATATACATGCCCGTCTGAAGTTTGCCAATGAACATCTGAATGATTCAGAGGACATCTGGGTGAAAATGTTGTGGTCAGATGAGACCAAAATGGAGCTCTTTGGCATCAACACAACTCGCCGTGTTTGGAGGAGGAGGAATGCTGCCTATGACCCCAAGAACCCCATCCCCACCGTCAAACATGGAGGGGGAAACATTATGCTTTGCGGGTGTTTTTCTGCTAAGGGGACAGGACAATTTCACCGCATCAAAGGGACGATGGACGGGGCCATGTACCGTCAAATCTTGGGTGAGAATCTCCTTCCCTCAGCTAGGGCATTGAAAATGGGTCGTGGATGGGTATTCCAGCATGACAATGACCCAAAACACACCGCCAAGGCAACAAAGGAGTGGCTCAAGAAGAAGCACATTAAGGTCCTGGAGTGGCCTAGCCAGTCTCCAGACCTTAATCCCATAGAAAATCTGTGGAGGGAGCTGAAGGTTCGAGTTGCCAAACGTCAGCCTCGAAACCTTAATGACTTGGAGAAGATCTGCAAAGAGGAGTGGGACAAAATCCCTCCTGAGATGTGGGCAAACCTGGTGGCCAACTACTGGAAACGTCTGACCTCTGTGATTGCCAACAAGGGTTTTGCCACCAAATACTAAGTCATGTTTGCAGAGGGGTCAAGTACTTATTTCCCTCATTAAAATGCAAATCAATTTATAACATTTTTGACATGCGTTTTTCTGGATTTTTTTGTTGTCATTCCATCTCTCACTGTTCACATAAACCTATCATTAAAATTATAGACTGATAATTTATTTGTCAGTGGGCAAACGTACAAAATCAGCAGGGGATCAATACTTTTTCCCTCACTGTATGTTGAACTTCTTTCGCACCGTACGTAGCTAACCGTGCAAATCGGAAGTGCGCAGGACAACAAACCAAACACAAAAAGCAACACCGGTGGAAGAAAATGGAGCAGAACCCTCCTGAAAGTCAGCCTTGAGACTCCGTGAAGCTATTCCGGACAAATCAATTGCATAATAGTTATCGTCTTGTGTCAAACCCTGTCCTTACGTCCCCGCACAGACTGGAACGCGAGTGAATGGACCTCCTTTCTTGTTGAGCATCCATTGTGGGTGGTGTGGCTGTCCCCCCGCTCGTCGGTCTTTGTTTCCCCAATGCTGATATTTACACCACCCCTCAGGTACCTTGTCATCTCTGAGTCGACCTAAGGGAAACCCAGGATGGGATAAGGCACCATATGCCACGTGTTTTCCGTGGTCGGAAATCTAATTTAAGTCACTAAAACGACCTTTTACACAAACTCCCACAATACATCAGCCACGATCTATGCACTGCTCATGCAGGCCTCCAAGCTCACAATACAAAGTCTAAATACATAAATAGTTTACAACCTCTTTGGTTCTTTCGGTAAAGTCACGTAGAATGACAATATCAATCAATTGATTGATATTGTGTTATTTTATGTTATTTTTATGTTATTTTATTTTTATTTTATCAATCAATTATTTTATTATCATTCTATGTGACTTTACCGAAAGAACCAAAGAAGATGAATCATTGCAGTCACGAAAGCTTTAAATCGAAATTTAGTTTACAACTATAAACACTACGGATAAAAAAATAGCACAGCTACTCTGAGATTACGTTAAGTGACAGCAAATATTACAAGGATAGTCAACAGTTTTGCTCAACTAATATTTTTCAACATTTGGATCGGAGAAATAAAAGCTAAATTTAATTGGAGCAAAAATCAACAGTTTCGGATTTGCAGATGACATTCGTTACAACAAAATATCGATGCAATAATCACGGTATATGCAGTATACACGGGGTGGCACAAAAGTCAGCGCAAATCGGGCTATTAGATTTAATTTAACAAATGACATGTTTTTTCTTCATTTTAACAAATGTTCAAATTGACTTTAATTAATATTCATGGACGCATGGATTCCTTATTATAATTAATGTAGAACTTATTTTAAGATCGCAGGTGTAATCTTTGAATATCCATCAATTGTGTTTCGTCTCAATTCACTCCGGATTCTTGGTCGAGTTGTGTAAACGACAGACTTGAGGTGACCCCACAGGAAAGAAAATAAATATTAATCATGATAATAAATTAAACATTATCTTCAATTATAAATAATTCAATTTTCTAATGCCAGTGTGAAAATAAATTATCATACATGTCCTGACTTTTGGGCCACCCTGTAGAAATCTATGTTTCTGTAACTTGCCGGTACAATTAATTGTTTTGAAGGTCATTGTTCGGAGACAATTTATGTTCCAGAAACGTAATTGTCTTAAAATATAAACTTGTGTTTGTGTCGGATGTCCCGTGTCCATAGACGTCCACTCCTCCAGGTTCCTCTCACGAGACCCCAACTGGGGCAGACGCCAAAGGAACCGAGAAGCAACCCCGAGAATCTGCGTGACACCAACATAGAACCGTCGCGCAGCAGACGAGGGCGAGTCTACTTCTGGTTACTACATTAGTTTGTTTTGCGGCAATAAGCGAATGTAAAGCACTTATTGACCCCCTCCCCTCACCTTAGTAAATTAAATAACAATAACCTTGGATAGTTAATAACTTCCCGCTGTCCTCTCATTGCAAGGCTGTGAGTTTAGATAAAGCTACGGAGCTGACTCTTTACATAATAAGACCTGAACCATCTGCTGAAGCTGCTGCTCTGGGGCGGCACTGCGATGAATGGGGGCTTTGTGTGCGATTTGCAATAAGCAAACAGCAACAATGACAACACACGTGACCGTCTATTGCATGGCTGTGAGCCACACGTCATTCTGATAAACCCTGAGTCTCACGGGCAACGATCCTGGAAGCTTGACACGTGTGCATCGCTCCTGTTTGTGCCCTGATATGTAGTTGGGTGTTTTTTTGTTGTGGATTTAATTTCTATACAGTACGGTACTGTGCTTTGTTTGATTTTGTGATTGTGGTGACCTAGGTTACCCGTAAATGAGAATTCTAATCCTTGAGTTCTCACGTGGTTACACAAAAGCAACCTAAACTTGAACCGATAGAAATTACAGGAAATGTTGTGGATTTGCTCTCCAACACACCGGTGTGCTGTACTAGTAACCAATTGGCATGTCCTGTTGACGTGACAGACCCCTTACTAAAGGGCTGTGTCGGGTGGTGGCGGGTTTAACGATACGTTGATATTTACGCGATCTAACCCAACAAAACCTGTATTATGAAGTAAATTATACACTTACACAAACACACACTGTGGTAGAAAGGTCAGGGCTCAGCCCTGCAATTGCCGCTCACGCCACCGTTGGCCGAAGAGACCTCCACTCGAAGGGAGCACGAGGGGTACACTCGAGGCATTTACACCACGGTACACATAAGGTCCGATTCCCACTGGCTGCTGTTGTTTCATTTACAGACTCAGTATCTTTATTGAGACTTGAGGATTCCGATTAGCTATAAAACTCATTTTGACGAATGTCGGGAAGTAGCGGGTCAGCAAGTTACACCAACAACAACAAACAATACAAAAACAATAATAGGAGTGCAAAATAGATCAAAGGTAAGCGAGTCACTAAACATACATTAATATAAAATATACAAATTGCATAAGTACATACATTCGTGCTGGGGCGAGGTAGCAAAACAACAACAACAACAACAAAAACATTCCCAGACCACACCAAGAAAACAACACACAGTCCCCCCGATCATATTGCACATGGATATTGCCCTGGAAAAGTACTAATCAACGCACGCCATCTCACGAGGCTTCTGTGCGCTGCCCACTCACTCGACCCAATGCGTGGACGAACCCGCCGTGGTTTGTCCAGTGGAGGGGATTCGCCACTGCTCTCTCACGATTGTTGAGCACGGGGCGCAAAGCGTCGAGCGGCCAGCAACAAACACCGCTGCTGTCAGAGATAAAGAGTTATCACGTTTCTTGAAATGTTATAAGATCGTGGGGAAATAAGATGATGCCGGGATGGAATTCCAAGGCCGGCCAGTGCTAGGAAGCATACATGGAAATTGATTATGGTAATACTGATGATGATCAAATTGTTATGCTGTTTCTGATCGTGGTGATGCTGCTGATGATTGATGATGGTGATGACGCTACTGCTGATGATGATGACAATGTGATGCTGCTGCTGATGATGATGACAATGTGATGCTGCTGCTGATGATGATGGTGGTGATTACGCTGCTGCTACCGCTGATCATGTTTAATTGATTGATGATGATGCTAATAATGAATGATGGTCATTAATGTTAAAGCGTTAGAGAATTCTGGTGGGCTAGCACCTTGCTCCCCCGTGTAGCCTTCACAGACTGTCGGGGCAAGTGCTGTTAGCGAGTAGCACCTACGAAGGGTCAGCACGGGACGCGATGGGGTGGGTCGCCTTTGTCTCCCTCCTGGTGATGTTTACACACCACACCAGATACTCATTTGAGGTTGAGTCGAGCTAGGGGAGTCCCAGAACCGATTCAGATAATCGTAATTGGTGTTGGCCGTGAGAGGGAATCGAACTGGGGTCGCCGCGTTTAGTAGCGCGGCGTAGCGCTATAACTGCCCCCTTCTTCATCGATTCGCCGTGTGGGTGAGACGGAGCAGTTTGGCACATCGAGTCCTGAGTGCGAGAGAACGAATCAATGTTTCAATTTCACGGGAACGGTAGCCATGGTAGAAGCGATAGAAGAGTGACAAGGAGGCTACGGACCACCACCCCCGCCTTCCAGTGAGTTCACGACTGGAGTGAATCAGTGAGTAATGCATTGTCAATCAACCTGCAGTCAATGTGAGCGGAAGAACAGCTCGTTCTCAAGCCAACCTGTTCCACTGGTCCTGATTATAGCTGTTACAACACACACTCCCACACACTCCACTCGAACGTTATTGGCTTCTGTGTCCCCCGTAAATTTACCGAAATAACCAAAGACTAGCGACTCTGCACAGGGGCGACACACACAGCCGTGGTCAGGGCGAGACGTCCACGGCCGGGCGAAGGCGGACCCCGTCTCTCACGGCCCTGCGATGACATCCATCGCTCCACACGGCGCTGACGCAGGAGGAGCTGCTCACACGAGCAACATGTTGTTTCGTTTCGGACTGTGGGAAATTATAAGACGTAGGCGCGTCCACCGGCTCCGCCCAACACAACAGCGAGCACAATGCTGCACTCAACACAATCGCCAATACCGCTGTGACCTTAAAATAGAACAATATATATACGGACAACAGACGACGGTTTGGGCGATGGCCCTTCTTGAAAGCGCATACATAGGGAGGCCAGAAAGAGTGGACAACTGGATAAGAGTGGTTCGCGGATCCTTGAGCTCTCTCAAGTGGAGGGTCCCTTCCGCCTACAGGGGCACGCGCACGCAATTTCAGGGCTGCGCCTTCACCTTTAGTGTACAGCTATCAGGCTTACACTCGTGACGTAGTACACAATTCGCAATGACTAACGCGGACATGTGGCTGGGCTGACGGTAGCGGAAGAGCTGAGATAATTCTCACACAAGCGGCTGGCAGATAAGAGGATGGCGAGTAAGAAATTTCGCGGATAACAGGATGAAGATAACGCGGTGTGACGTCAGCCGCGCGGCTGGGTGTGACGTCATTCTACCGCCCGCGTGGGCGTTACTAAAGCAGTTACAAAAGCAAATTACATGTACGTGATGGCGTCACGAGTATAAACATCCAGGCGCAAACGTAACTATGGACTGGCTGCGATATTCTGAGTCTCATCACCAGAGTTGGTAAACATATGATGCTGGGTTACCGAGTGTAATTTGCAAGAAAAATAAAAAGTATTGGTCTGGAAAGCCAATGGGCGGATGGACTAAAACTTAATTTTATTTGCGTGTGTGTGTGTGTTCTGATCATTGTATACGCTTTGAATGAGTAAACACGTTTGGCATACGGCAACACGTAACTACCAACTACTTTTTAAAGTCGTAATGTCTGCACGTGACGTCTACACCGGCTCCGTGTTTAATGGCGTCATGTCCGCGTGCGAATTTCCGTGCCCGTGACGTCATCCGCGAGATCCGGTGACGTCACGCGAGTCGAAGCGAAGGCGGCCGTTACTCGGGCTTCGTGAAGAAGCAGAGAAGAAGAGAGGGGAGAGAGAGAGGATAGACGACGACGATCATGTCGCGAATTTACCTGGGGAACCTGAGCTACAGGGCGCGCGACAAGGACATCGAGCGCTTCTTCAAGGGCTACGGCAAGATCGTGGAGATCAGCATCAAGCACGGGTGAGCGGCGCGGCCGCGTGCGCCCAGGCCTCGGGCCTGCACCGCGCGCCTCGCACACGACGACAACAACAACAACCACCACCACACGACGACACTTTCACTTTGTATTGAATGCATTTGACGTAATGTGCAATAATGTTAATAAGCTCTAGACGATGGTGACGATGCTTTGTGTTCGCGCGTTTGTTGTGCTTGCGTACTGCATATTCTCGGTTAATTGAGCTAACGAATTACACACAAAAGTTTTCCCGCGGAGGGAGGAACGGAGATGGAGGCCGCGGGGCCTGGGCCTTCACTCCCCCTGGCCGGGCCTTCACTCCCCCTGGCCGGGCCTTCACTCCCCCTGGCCGGGCCTTCACTCCCCCTGGTCGGGTCTTCACCGGGGCCTCCGCCTCGGGATCCCCAGGCCGGGCCTTCGCAGCCCAGCCCGGGCCTTGATTTCACAGCCCGGGCCTTCATTACGAGCCCGGGCCCTTCAGCCGCTGGTTCCCAGCCCGGGCCTTCACCTCGGGCCTCTGCCAGCCTCCATCTCGGGCCTTCATTTCCCAATCCGGACCTTCAGTCCCCACATCTCGGGCCTTCAGTTCCTTCCCCATCTCAGGACCTCGGTCCGGGCCTTCATTCCCCCACGCAGCGCCGGGCGGGGGGCGTCGGTTGCACAACCCTGGGCCTTCAATGCACGTCCTGGGCCTTCCCTCCCTGGTCCGGGCCTTCCCTCCCTGGTCCGGGACTTCACTTGGCGGCGCGGCGGGGCCGGGGCGGAGCCATAGCAGTTAGGGGCGGCTAGGGCTCCCGCCTGCCATGGGCCCGCACAGTAAGGCAACGAGCAGACACCGCGCAGGTCTTGCCGCCGCTTTGCTGCGGCTCTTCAGACTCAATCCCCCCTCCCACCGCACACCCCCCCCCGGGATCCGTCCGTTCACGCTGCGCCTCGCCGCCTCCCCCGGGCCAGGTTCGGCTTCGTGGAGTTTGACGACACCCGCGATGCCAACGACGCCGTGTGCGAGCTGAGTGGCCGCGAGCTGTGTGGCGAGCGCGTGGTCATCGAGCACGCACGCGGGCCCAAGCGCGATCTGCACGGATACGGGGGCGGCGGCGGTGGCGGCGGTGGCGGCAGCAGCAGCAGCGGCGGAGGATATGGGGGTACGGACTCTGGGCCCTCTGGCACATTGACCCAATCTCGAAGTAAGATCATTATCGGCTCCCCGATGTGTTTTTTGGGTTGCGCCGTGTGTTTGTCCGGCACCATGTCCGACGTTCTTGCAGAAGCCCGCTACGTGCGGGCTTCTGCAAGATCTGAAGAGCGGAATCTCAGCGCATTGGAGCAAAACGCCGGACATCGCACCGAACAACACGGCGCAACCCAAAAACACATCGGAGCATTGTACAGCACAACCGCGATAACCAATTCGCTATTGTAAGAGCATCATCCTCGGCCGTGGTCTGTCCACTGCCGAATAACGGCCCATGCCGTCAGCATCAATCACGGTCATTGTAATCATCCTTCCAGCACCTGCATATGAGCGCATTTCATCGCACAATCTACCTCTTTGTATTGCCTCTTGGGGGCATTCTTGCCGTTGGCTGCGATTCTCGCTCGTCTCGTCCGTCGATCATTCCTTCTGGATGATCCGCTTAACCCAAGTCCACCTACATTTGCGAGCAGCCGCTATGATGTGTGGTGTGCTAGGCGCAGAAGTATTCGTGGAACCACAATCCAGACAAACATGGCTGGAATTACACCCTCATGGAATCCAGCCTTCTTGGAATGTAGACACGTGATGCCTATCCACAGCCATAGCGAGAAATCTATCGCCACCGTACACCGCAGTCAAAGCACAATGCGATTGCTGTGGTGTGGCAACATGCCATGAGGATAGGATGAATATAGCGATGGAGGCTTGAATGGATTCGAGCTTTCGGAGATCCATTAGTGCGATCTGAGGAGACCGCTCAGCTTCTCTGCCCTTCCCTGCGCTTGGGCAGCAAAAAACGAGCCCCGCTAAGCAGGGTTGAATTATCGGCGTGTGTGCAGTGGTGGCCCTTAACGTGCCAGTGGCGTGGCTGCGTGTCTATAGTCACTTGTTAAGCACAAATTATTTGTAGTGGTGGCATGGTCCACCCCATGCTTTTGGCTGCCATTTTGTCAATCAATCGCTTGGATGATGGCCTCCCCACGGCATGCAAATTGTGTCGATATTAAACCATGTCTCACTATGCTCGTCAATGAAGGTTGGTGAAAGCAGGGAAAATGTGAAAGTATAGAGGTACACAGTACAATGTTGAACTTTGGCGCGCATCTTGCTACATAGCCTTGCATCCACTTATGTTTGTGCAAAGCACTATCCAGGCTTAGTGCTGCTTGGCTTCCGAGTTCCGACGACATTGGGCGCATTCCACACCATTTGGTAATGGTGTTGATTACTTGTTTACAAACTGCACCGGGTATGGTTTCCGGTAGTGGATTGTCGAGAGCGTCTGTGCGTGTACGCGTGCAGGCGTCTTCCCCGTGCCTCTCGTGCCCAGCTAATGCCGAATGCGTGTTGTGTGTGGGCGGGGCTGGGACAGGCAGCATGGCGTTCCGGCACGGCCCCCCTCCTCGCACCGATTACCGCCTGGTTGTGGAGAACGTCTCCAGTCGCTGCAGCTGGCAGGACCTCAAGGTGAGACGGAGCTCCCAGGGCCATCACGTGGTGGCTTTCATAATGCCCACCGCGGTCTCCGCCTTTGTCTGCTTACCATTCTTCGTTGGAATACAAATTAAATTGCTACCGCGTCCGTCTTGTGATTGGTAAAACGCAGGGACGAAAATATTAACCTTCGCCTCCACAGCAGTGATTCAATTAATGATCGCTGTTGATGTCGCACCGCGATCGAGAATCCACAGCTTTTGATTAATATTTTTTTGTAATACTCACGTTTCAAATGTGATTTTTATTCTGTCAAACTGCAGCTTACACTTGAAAAATGTTCTTAAAGTTGCATGACCCAAAGAGGACATTGTGAACATTCCCACGAGAGCAGGGCTTCTGATTGGCCTTCACAAATAACAAGGGATCACCGTTGAGTGAGAGATGTGGCAGTTCTGCCTTTCGCTCAAACCTCTGCATTGACCGCACGATCATCCGTGCACTGTACAGTGTGTCTCTGGGCTCTTGATTCGTC